TCGAAGGACAGAGCTACAATCTTCTTTTCCAGGACTTTCTTTGCCCAAGTTTATTAACTGAATGTTCAACATCACACAAAAAGGTTACCCACACAGGGGCTTTTTCCTTTTCCACAAACAAAATACACATTCAGGCTCTTGGCTTTCACTTGCAACACCGCTGCTCTGGCCTCACACTTCAGGCCCTATGTCTGTCTCTCCTCCAGACAATCCTCACAACTCAGAATTTGTGTGCAGACATCCACCATCTTGCTGCACTGCACCAACCCAGTCTCCTAGGGGAAAGTTCTCCTCTTTTGCCTAGGTGGAGCCCTGTTTCATAGTCGGCACCCATGCTAAGAGGACTGTGCACACCTGCACCATCAGGATACTGGTTTCTGGCGAGATGGGGACCCCAGGCTGGAGGCTTCATCCCACCCATTACTCTACAAAGCCTCGGGGCTCCAAGACCCAATCCAGGATTGACTAATCTTGGAAATGCTGTGAATCAAGTTTCCTCTGAATGACATAAGCATCCTGGAGGCCCTCACGTGGTATGGGTGAGAACCCTACTTGACAGGAAATACTTATCACACCTTGACAAGGTGCAGCACTGTTACACTACTGACAAAGGATGTTCACTCCCATTTCAACTGTAACAATTTGTTTTCTGTAACAAGTGTTTTTTTGTCTTGTGTTTTCTTTAAAAACAATATAACCTATCAAAGTGTGCCTGTTCCTTGTAGATCTATTTCAGAATGGTGTTTTATGTGCCTTACATAGTGTTTTATGATGCTTCTACGATGCTTCAGTGTAAAAATGTTTTTGATGGCTTTGGAAACATAGGAGTAACATTATAACATTATTGTAGTGCCAGAGTCTCACAACTGTATGCTCTACAATCAAAAGGTGGGTCTACACACTACCCCTCTTTATATTTGTAGTTCATTTCTTAGACATTACTATCATTTTTTTGTAATTGGTTGGGAGAATTAATTTGAAATATATAAAGGAGATGACATGTTTAAAAAAATGCTTGTCTTTTTTTAACCAGAAACAGCCACACTCCAAGGGTCTTCACCAAAAATAAAAATGTCTTTATTATTGCAGCAAATACACACTGTAAAGTTCCTCCCCAGGTATGCTCAACCTCTAACGCCTTTCACCATTCCGGCTTACTCATAAGTAAGTCGGAATGGTGAAACGCGTTAAAGGTTGAGCATACATGGGAAGGAACTTTACAGTGTGTGTTTGCTCCATTAAGACTTTTATTTTTGGTGAAGACCATTGGAGTGCGGCTATTGCTGGATGTAGTTGTTAGAGTGCAAGCCAGTTTGGGAATCTGAATGGTGTTTGCTGTGAATTATGCGTGTCTTCTCGTTAAAAACAAATATTAAAGCTCATTACAGTTGTCATATTATTCATAATAACTTTAAAGTAAAAACATATTTGTGTAGCAATTATATAAAAAAGGAGCTTTCCTTGAGAGCAATTACAAAAAAAATGCATAACCTTTTTATTGTTTTCTTTATCAGTATAGGTTAATGATTTAAAATCTTTTTTCTATAAATTGCTTGTATCGCACTTAAACGTTCCTTAAAAAGAAAATCATTAACACTTTAGCACCATCATGTGGTTAGATTGGACACAGACTCTTAATAAAGAAAATTTACAGTCTTAGTGTTTCTTTTTTATCAGTATGTGTTAATGTTTTAAAAAACGTATTTCTATGTATAATATATTTTACATACATCCTAACTTTCTTAAATGTGAAAGAAGGACACATTCCAGCCTAATGTATTTAGACAATGGACACACCACTGCCACACCACCAGTTATGCTGACCATTAAGAATTATTTTGCCAAAAATAATTGGTAAAACCCAGCATTTTTTATTTTCCACCATTTTGTTTCATTAGTACTAGGTTTTCAAAATAGAAAAAGTGATAATAATGAGATAAAGAGTTTTTAGTGCAGAATAACACTTTTGGTGGTTAAATAGAACCTTTTCATAGATATCTGTACATCAGACCAAAAAAAGTGGCATAACTGAGGAGGAAAGAGGGACAGTGGGATTTGATTCCTAATGAGGGACAGTCCCTCCAAATGAGGGTCAGCTGGGAAGTACATATTTGTTATATTATATGTAAATGTTGGCTGGCATATTTATCTTTAAATATCTAGTTTCTGCGTATTGCTTAGTGCTCTCACTAGCCCCTAATCTAACCTGATAGTCTTCTCCAGTGTTTGCAGCCTTCTTCCCAAAACCTTTTTAAGCACTGCACTTGCCTGCACAGTAACCTTCCATACAGGCCATAATTTAAGATTTACTCTATGGGAACTTACTGCACAGGTCCAGGCTTTGAGGACATTGGGGGAAAGGCTTTAGACACCAGAAGAGTCCATTGTCGTCAGAAAAAGGTAAGCACCTGGGTTTGGGGGTTCTATTTAAGATTAAATTATGAGGGTAGATTGGGTTTAAAGGCCTTTTTCTAAGATAAAACCATTGCACAGGACCTCAGATAGCTCCCTCTACTGGCTAATCTAAAAATGTGTAATTGCTTTTACAATAAAAATAAAGAAGAGCAAGCTTGTAAAAAG